TGCAACTTCAATAATCTTTAGAAGTTTCACCAATCAATCGCTTTTGATATGTGGAATTATAGATATTTAATGACACAGTAGACTTCAATTATATTATTTTCGAAGTATCTGTTTTAGAGGCTTCATATACTGCCTTATGGTGCACACATAACTTCTAGTTACAAATGTTTTAAGATACATAAAAAGGATGAAGGATAATGATGTTTAGCACTTTAAGTTACATCATAGTTTGGAAAATCAAAGACAAACTTGCCAAGCAATCTGGCTCAACCTTGCATTACCATTCATCTTCATGCCATTCCATCTACTGAATCTCTATCCTATGCAGCCCTGGATTCCGAAAGACCCTTACCTTGTGTCTTCATCCAGAAGATTCAAAGTAGAATTTACTTCAAAGTTTCATTTTTGTCACTCAAAATATTACTTTATTTTTAACACAAAGTCAGTCTAGTCTGAGTTCTACTGAAAATATTTGAGTGGTGAGTTTAAGATACGAGGAGGAAAACAAGCACAGACAAATTAAATGGAACAGAGGAAATAAGGGGATAGGAAAACAGTCCTGATAGGAGACTAAACAAGAAGGAAAGGAAGGAAAACTTTTTGTCTTTGATTAAGTGTTTGGAAAGGAGAAAGAAACATTAATTCTTCTGGAAATTAAATTTTCGTAATTGTTCCGCTCAGCTGAGCAGTGTGATTCGTGCTATTAGTCCTTGAAATGTGAAAAACTGCAAAGTGCTGGTTAAACCTCAGGTTCTTGCTCTGCTGCTGGGTCCCTAATATAATTTTTGTCTTGGGTTCTTTGGAAAAAAACTGCCCCTTGGGGAGATGGAGGTGTATGTCTCAGATTCAAATGACTGAATGTGTCAGTGCCGAATTACTATACAGAGAAGGCAAATAGGGTTGGAGTTTGGAGAAAAGAGTTTGAGGCAGAAGCCCAGGAATGTATTGTTAATACAGTGATAGAGAAGAGAAATATAACCTAAGTGTCCTTTGAGCCTGAAAAAAACTCCTGCATTTTGAACCTTCTATAAATACCATTTTACTAAGAGACAAGAAGTAGAAGGGTACTGAAAGTCTTCTATCTATCACAGATAATTTTTAAAAGTAACTTTATGATTCCTGGTTTTCCACCTAATCCTTTGTTGATTAAATAATTTCTAGTGATCCAGCTAAAGGCCTGGCTTTTGTCACATTATTCCTATATATTATGTTTTATTTAATGAAAAGGAAAAATAAGAATTTAAAATGTCAAACACTGCTGTTCCTTATTACTAAGCTTAAAACCTTTGGGGATGTTTTTCCCAACTGTAGTTTAACGCCTAAGTGAAAATAAGGTCTGTTTCCAGATCTGCTGTGGACTTGGTAATACAGGGAGGGTCATCTGCTGACACGGTATTATCCTGCCAAGCAGAAAAAGTAGGATGAGAATACTATTGCACAATATTTCTCAAAATAAATGTTGACATTACTTTTGTATCTATTCATAGTGATAAATTTTGTCTTGCTGCCCATCTTCCTCAAAGAAAGAGCTATTTTTAAAAAGGTGATTTATGCAGTTCACAAATATTTTTCTAGCTACTCTTCACTTTTCTATTAGTAATTTAGATAGGATTGAGTGACTTGTACCAGAAGAGAAATAACTGAACGTGTTGTTACTTGACAAACGGTGTAGTCAATATTTGTGTCCTATCTGATGGGATAACAGCTGTCACTGAAGTTACAAACACCACACTGGACAACAGGAGCAGAATGCTTATGCCCAGGTTGCAGAGACAAAAACACATTAAGGTCTTGTTGAAATGGGACAAGAGAAACAGAGCAAGTGTGAATATTGTTACAAAAAGTACAAAAACTTCTGACAAGTTCAACTATGATCTCCAGCAGAATAGATTAGGCCTTATCTTAGGAAAATAAACTTTTTCAAAGAGATGAGCCAATAGGTTCTTCCACATTCTTCCGCACTCACTGTCTTTAACTCTTCCTAAGACTACAGGAAAAGTGAAAATTTCTTTAAAACAGTCTGTTCATATTTCCTGGTCCTCTTTTTATATTCAACAACCACTGCAAACAAACATACGCAGCTGTATCAACAACTTTTCTTTTAGTAAATCCAAACAGAAATTCAGCATTAACAAGCCTTGGCATTAAGAACACGATGACAGCTCACCACCTACATGGGAAAGGAACTCTGTGTTATTGTGTAAAGTGTGGCACACTACGGAAACACAAATATTTTCTGATTTGTGTCCTTAGAGATACAAGGCAATTCTACCACTGCACTATATCCCCAGATACTTAGATACATCAGCTGGGAACAGAGGTACATTTGGGGGAAAAAACCTAAACCCCCCAAACCCCCCAAGAAACGAAAAAACAGTGGTCAGAAATAGGAAGTGGGAAAAGCAGCCTTTTGCAAAGCATTCAAGTAGTTGATTTAAATAAAATCTACCTGCAGACTTACTTGCCTATTCCTTAACTAGTATCTGGCCTGTTCCCAAGCAACTACTACCATCCTTGTCACACCAAAGAATAGGGAGACAATGACAGAGCACCTACACGAGGCCACTAGACAAGCTCTTCCTGATAGTTCTGATAGTCTTGTAAAAGAGAAAATTCTGCCACAGCAGAAAATAAGGGGTACTGAGACAATTTTTTTTTCCCATGAATTTGCATGATCCCCTTCAAGGAAACAGGATGTAAGCCTACAAGCTTGTCTTTGGGAAGATTTGCCAAGTTTTATAACCACATACTTTCTTCAGTCTCTCTCTTCTTCAGGCCAGTTGAAGCATCACTAACCAGAAAAGTGAGCAACGAGCACGTTCTCCTTCCGTATCCCCCTTTCTCTCCCCCTCCTTCTGCTGATCTTCATATCCTTCTGTGCACTGTAACTGGAAAGGGCCTCTGATATCCATGGCCTTACTGACTCATACTTCTTACAAGCCACCGAAAAGCAAGAAAGACGGAACCTCCAAACATTCACTGGAAGTCAGGGGGAGAAAAGGCAGAAGAGCAGCAAAACCACAGAAACCAGACAGCAAAAAGGCTAAAGCAGCATAAGAAAAGGAAGATGAGATGGTAGATAAAGAGTAAATCAAGGGTATAGGTACTGGAAAATGTATATGGGCTAATAAGGAATGACACAAATTCAAAATATAAAGGGCTTTTGACTGCTAGCACAACAATCTAGGAGTTCTGCTCACAGGACTCTCCAAACTCTTCTGCTGCAGTAGATTTAGGGAGATACATGACATCCATCTGCATGTATTAACCCATTAACAAAATGTGGTTAATAATATTGACTTAAACCCTATGTGTGTGAAAGAAATTTTAAAATTTTAAATTCTCATATGAGAGTTTTACAATTCATTCTTATACACAACGATAGGAATTTTAAAAAACTTGCCTTGCAAAAAAATGCTCTTCCTAAGAAACCATGAGGAAGAGATGGTCCTCCCTCAGTTTCCTCTTCCACATATTTACATTCCACTCCATCTTTACACAGTTTCCCTGCATAAATCTGATGCTTGCAAGGACTTTGCAGATTATTTGCCTTTGTGTGAATCAGTCCTCAGACTGATTCAGTGACAAAATGCTACAATCACAATTTGCCATACAAAAGTCAAGTGCCACAAGACAGGGCAGTTAACCCATCTAAGCACTAGCTGAGAGCCTCACTTCCTTTGACGTTTTTGGAACTGTAAATTTATAGCAACTTTCACCCACAACTGCCTAAAACAAACTGCCTCCACTTAGTTATATTACATACCATACCTACCAAACAAAACATACGGTACTTATGGTACCCCACACCACATTCCATGCCTTCAGAAAAGGGGGAAAGTTGTTGGGCCTACCCATGTTTAAAACACTGCCTGCAATCTGATAAGAGTAATCCTAATGAATCTTGACATGATAAGTCAAGTAAAAACCTCAGGGACTGTGGTAACGCTAAGTAACATCCATACGCCATGTTAGCCACATTTTTTTAATCCAAACCACTACCAGCAAAATTATAACATTCCTCTTGGAATAATATTCTTCTTGGAAGGATACAATTAAATCTTTTTAGTAGCAGATGGCCTTGGGCTCATCAGATCTGAGACTGCTTTCTGTGACATAAACTCCTACTGTTCTTTACTACTCTTTTTCTGGTTTCCATCCATTCTCACTGTCCATTTATGAAAAGAATGGATGACCAGCACATATTCTGAGGCCATTTGATTCCTTTAGATTAAATATGAGGTCCACAGGTTCAGAAAAGATTATTAATTGTGCCCTTATCCATGGCTGCTACAAATTTGTGCTTTGAAGTCACTTTACAAACCACTGGAACAAAGACTAAGAGAGCATTAAAACTGAATGAATTCAACGACAGACCCGAGATTAGTACTGAGGTACCCAGGTAACAGTGACACAACATTGTAACTGTGATGGACAAGTAAGCATTTGGTGAGGACTGTGTTAGATCATCTTCTTGAAAGATAAAGAATAACAGAAAACAACAGAATTATATGAATTCCACATAGTTACCCAAACCTGTACATGGTCTCCTTTCAACTAATCTTTTCAGTTACACCAGTTTCATTCCTAACCTCCTTGGTTTTCTTTGCAGTCTGCATAGTATCAAAAGGGGGGGAATCTTTTTACACTAATGCTTTTGCAATTAAATAGAGGCCAGGCTCAGTTCTGCTCCCAGTACATTTGCAGATACTAAGTGGGGGGGTTGGACTAAATGGCTAAATGTCCCTTCCAACCCAAACTATTCCATGATTCTTTAATACTGGAGATAACTTACTACAGGCAGGATGTACCAAAAGGTTCTATGAACATCTCAGTAAGGGATAAAAGCCCTATTAGTCATTCTTTCATTCAAAAGAAATTAATATTTACCATGTAGCTTTCTTGGCACACGATTAGAACTGAATTAGAACAGAAAATACCTCATTCTGTAATTTAAAAAAATATTCTTTTTTTTTTTTTCAAAGCAGACCTAGACATACCCAGTTGCTGAAAGAGAAGAGCCACACTGGTGCCTGTAACAGGAAGGCTATCGTGCAGAGGAGTCTGTATCAGTTGTCGGTCTCCAGCTCCCAAAGAAAACAATTTCTGTAGAAACAATTTTTTAAAAATTTTAATGTAATTTATATAGAATAAACAAGCTGTCATCATACAGATAAGTGATTATACTGCAAAAATTATCTGTTTTGTATACAGAAATTTAAAGTCCAGAAGAATAACTGAATTGACAAAAAGAGATCTGACATATAATTTGAGGACTGTCATATGTCTCCTTGAATGTATAACATTATGGTGTCTCCCTTGCATTTACACTGAATTAGTTAAATAGTTCTGGCTTTGAGGGCATTTAATAGCACATTTCTAATAATACAATAAAAAAGGTTTAAAACCCATTTAAATCAGAAAAATGTATAGTATTACTAACTGAATTTTTCTGCTATCTGCTCTGGATCCATGTGTGAACTATGAACATATATGTGATATGTGGGTATTGAAGAGGACAGTTTTGCTATTCCTGTGTTCCTGCTCTGCACATTCAAGCAGACTTAAAACCTCAGTTACCTTTCCAGAACAAGAACATACCTCCCTTGAGGGAGGCAGGAAATGGGAGTGAAAGGAATGCACTGGTGTATCACATCCCAAACAGCATTGTAATTGCAAAATAACCTTGCTTTCCTCTGGGTAAATCCACGTGACAGTCAAGCAATGAGTGATTTCAAGCAGTTACCTCTAAGCACTGACTCCCATGGGCTGAGGGCATTTCTGTGCAAGCACTAAGTGTGGTACCTCCCCACTCTGTGTGGCAGCAAAGATTTGAATGTATGAAGGCAGCAAGCTCTAGTTGCTGCACAGCAGGTATTTGAAACCAAACTGCTCCCCAGTAAAACCAAACAAGTCCCTGAGCTGAAGCAGAGATGCTCTTCCTCAGCACACCTGGATGCAGGTCAGTGACTCATTTCACAGCTGATTATTTCAATGGTGGAGGACACATGAACAACCTGGGAGGCTCCTCGAGGACTTCTGAAAATAAACACCAGAAGAGTGTTCCCATTCTAATTCAGACTTAGTCCTAGAAGCCTGAGGCTTAAGAAAAAAAGGAGAAACCTCAATTTCTGATTAAAATGATAGTTTGATCCCAGAAAATTTAAGTTTGAACTGAAAGAGCTTATTATTTGAAGAGAGAAAGCAGACGAAGAAAAACCAGAGGATTATGACTTTTCCTTCCTCTTCTAGCAGAGGAAAACACCACTGAGAAAAGCCACATTTATGGATGGGGGGAAAAAAAATTAAAATTAAAAAGAGAGGATAGAAGTGGAGCCAGAAGTTCCAAGTGGATCACCAAAACCTGTAATCTGAGGCTCAAATACCATTGAAGAAGAAGGTTTCTGATGAGGAGATACAATCTAATTACTCCCCTTCAAAACCAAAAGGCTTAGGATGCAAAAACAGAGAGATGGCTGCCTGGAGAGCAATAAGGTAGACCCTGACTAAGCTGAGAAGACATTTTGACACAGCAACACTAAAAGAAATTCCAAAGCAGCCAGGGCTATGGGAAAAACAGAAAAGAATTGGGAGTTTGTAGGATTTCAAGACTGTTGAGAATCCGTACGTTGAGTGGGAAGCTGTGCATGTACCTGACTTTCAAATGTTGCCATTTGTGTTTACAGTTTCCAGGTACGTTTCACAATAAGGACCATAATTTCCCAGCAGAGTCACAGCATAAAGTGAAGGCCAAGCACATAAGACCCACCTGGTTTATCAGAAACCAACAAAAAATGTACAGGAATAATTTATATACAGGAAATCAACACACAAACTTGACTTTCTGCTTACAGAAAGCATAAGTAAAAAGTAGAAAGAAGTGTATTCTCTGGAAAACTTTATTCTTATTTTTGAATGCACGGGCTACCTGCAATATTTAATCACCTCTGAGAAAACCCCATTCAAGTTACTTTTTTTTAGCATTTAAAAAAAGGTATGCAAATAGAAATTTAAACAAGTTATTTATGGAACAAAAAGTGGAGTCCTGAACTTCATCAAGGAGAAGATATGCATAAATGAACCTAAGTGAAGGTTATGTTAAAAAATGGCAAAGAAAAAAAGGCTTTAAAAAAATTTCTGTAGCAAGCAGAAATACTCCTGAACACATTACTATTAAAAACTAAACTTACACAAACTGCTTGATTTGTTAATGTGCCCTGTAAAAAGCCAACTCAGTGACAAAATTAACCCTTTGACCTTATCCTGGAATGGAATTTTTGCTGTCTTTAGAAGACAGGCCACAGGGAAAGCACTCACAGGCCACAGGGAAAGCACTCAGCTGAACTATGATCTTTTTTTCCTCAAAAATATTTCAAGAATTTATTTTTTTGTTTTCTTCATAAATTAAATTAACTGGAAAAATACCCTTTTTTCCCTGTTTACCTGAGACCCTCCAGAAGCAGGGACAAGGCATGAGCACAGATTTGCAATGAGAGTCTCCAGTGACACGTTCAGGCTGTCCACATACACCGTGTAGATCAGGCCAAGGCAAGCCTAGAAAGGTAGACAAAATACATCAGTCTGCTATACAGGGGAGGCAGATGTCAAATTATTTAAAGATCTATGTATATAATTTTCAAAAAACACATTCTTCTTAATAGTTATTAATGTAGTAAAGTACTTTCCAACTGAAGACAGAGCAATTTGCAATGCAAGCAATCCTTCCTTTAAACAAATCAGCTTGGCTATTTAGAAGGATTGTATGTGCTGGCAGGTGTAGATATACAAATATTTTTTAAGAAATTCTATGTATAATATTTTTGCTTTGTTTATTACACAAAAAGTGTTTTACTAGATGTTACTTCTAAAAGTTATAAAAATCAACACAGTGCTTTGAACTCTGTGGATCTAAACCTGACTGGTTCCTAGGGTAGAACACTGAAGCTTTTGAAACTCGTTTTAAGATCAGTATCAATGTTCAACAATTTCATGTTATTTAATTTAGATTATTTTATTATATAAATATAAATATATTTTTGAATTAACAGCACATTAACATTTCAGCATTTCCTTTTTCTTTAATGGATTCAGTTTTGACTGAGAAACCCCAGATACAGCTTTAGTGTTTTTACTAATAATTCCATGAAGACCATTCAACATGACATTCTAAGAAGCCTTTGGAAAAAAGGAAATAACGTTCCTTTTCCACAGAATCCTTTTGGTGCCTTTTAACTGCTGTAACTTTTATCAATCAGCCAATATTTTAGTAATTCTCTTCTTAGAAATAATCCCAACAGTAATTTTTCATATAACACTTAGTTAAACAGTGAAACTCCTTGCCATGGGTTGTTGTAAAACCTGAATGTTAAGAAAGTGGACAAACTATATGAAAAAACCCACACAACTGACACCTCTGGTTCAGGATGTCATTTAACTATTATTCACACTGAATTAGTAAAGTATTTTGTAGAATTATTTCTACAGCCAGCCCTATTCTTACATGCTTTGCTTTGCATTTGCTACAGGCCACTATCAGACAAAATACTGGGTTACATGGACATTTAATCTTACTTGGTACTGTCATTCTTAATGTCTGGTGACAATTGCTGAATGATTTCCTCCTTTGATCTATAAACTGAACTTTATTTGTTTCTGTTACTGTGTATTAGCTTAATAAAAATTTAATCTTTTCATTTATCTCTGGTAAGTCATATTTCATCAGCTGAAAGTAATCCAAGAGTCTAAATCTCTGTCATGCATCTTAATTTGATCTGGATGGGGCTTGGATATTTTGCCTTACATATGAAAGAAAACTAGAATTTCACTGTCAATTTACCATTATATAGTTAATCAAATATTGTTAATGTCTTGGTTTTACGTGAGCAAGTCTGGTTTTGACCTAGTAATTCCCTTCATTATACAGTAAACTGAGCCCAGAAAAAGCTCTATTGCATCTTCTATATAGTTTTACAACTGTTTGGAGGGTAAAAAAGCACTGCTTTAACCTACAGGGGCTATTTACTGTCACAGACATTGAATTATATCTAGTTCAATCTTAACCAACTTTTGCTTTTAAATTCCCAAATCAATCCTGAGATGTTTTAATTCAAAAGTATCGCCACTGCTACTCATTAAAAATAGATCTGTCTGCTGACATATATTATAAATGGCAATTGCAAGTTCTTTACCCTGAAAATTTCTGGATAATCCAGTCTGGATACCAAGACCAGACTTTTAGGAGCAAATACTTCTGCAGGTGGAATTAAACCAGACTCCTCTTCACCTTCAATTTCTTTCGTTCCCTTGAAAGAAGAAACACTTCAATTAATAAGCAGAAAGAAACCTCAAACGTTAGCATTCTCACAGTTTTAGAAAATAACTGCAATATTTGAAACTGGCAATGAAGTCAACTAAGAAGAACACATCCCAGTGGTTGCCTGAACTCCCTGGAAGTTTCTAGATGTAGTTCAACTTGCTGAAACTCACCTGGAGAGTCACGCACCATCGTACCCAAAATACAGTTCCTTGAGACAGCAGTTTAACAGGACAATGTTTCACATTAAATACCCCCTGTTTCACATTTTAGATAGTGAAGTAGACTGTAGAAAGGATCCTTTCACATCAAAGTGTTAGCTGATTTACAATCAACCATACCACAAATACGGAAATCACGTATTTCACAAAAGAATGTTTGGTTGGCCTCCTCATATTGATATAGTTCAATTTCTTTCCGAATTTCCAATAACATCACAGCTAAAATTATCTATAAAGTCATCTCCTGCCTGACCTAGCGAATTTGGAATCTAAAGGAATTTCTCCAAGAAAAGACTAGTTCCGATTTCTCAAAAAGATTCCTCACACTTAGAAATCACTAAGGTTAAAAAAAAGGCACAGAGCAGATAAATTTGCAGTTGTTCATGATATTGTGCAAGTCGCTACAACCGCCTTGCCAGCGTTTATTATTCAATCGCAAATAGTTTATTATTGTTCATAGCCAAACTAAAGATGTCACTAAATATTTTCATTTCTAAAATTCCACACAATCTTTGAAAAATTCATTAACTGAGTAAGTTTTCAAATGACAAAATGTCCGTGCTTTCCAATTTTTGCATGTAATTCTCTCCCCTCCCGCACCACCCACCACATTTTTTTATTTGTTCCTCTGACTGAGCATTCTTCCAAGCAAAAATCACTCTATTATCTTATTTAGGAATATGAGTGGAATTACTTCCATTTCCATATGACAGCATGAAATATCTGCCTACTATTTCTGTCATGTTACTAGCCATCATTTCAGTTTATTAAAAAAAAAAAAAATCCAACATTGCTTTCCTATTAAATGGAAGAAACCTGATAGAAATGCCCTTAAATGCCAGGAATGCTGCGAGTTCATGAGTTTTATTTCACCACCTCAATTCAGAACGCACAGTTTCTTGAGGTGAACACTAAATCACAATTCATCATTTAAACAAAATTTATTTAAAAAGAGAGTACTTAGGTTTTAATTAAAATAACTTGGTTAACACAGTGTAACATTTTCATACCAAAACAAAATCAATTGGCACAAATATATATATATATATACACACACATATGGGAAAACACTTGTCTTTGCACATTAAATTTTATCTAAATGGCAACTAATACATTAGCAATTAGTCTACTTTGCATCTCATTTCTAGGTTAAAATTGTGATTCACAAATTCACAGAGAAACACTAACTCAGTAGTTGCACGTCCCACACGTTCATTTATTTTCATCCATTTTAACATTGACAGGGAGAGAGCTTTTACAGGAATTACAGTTCCCTCCCATCGCCCCCAAAAGTCCAAGAATTGTTAAATTACCAACAGAAGTTCACTGTATCAACTGCTCTAAAGAGCAATTATGAATTCTAGGCATAAAGGCAATAGACTCTGGATATCTGACAAATTGTGGACCCTGAAATTAGGAAAAATGAAATTAGAACACAATCCACATTACTGAAGGCAAGGGAACATGGAAGCTCCTCTGTATTCACATGGTACTAAGATAATGAAAACTCAGGGTGCACAGACAGGGGGAGGTTTCTATAAAAGGCCATTTTCATAAAAATCCACTCAACTTCAGATCAAGTCTTGAATTAATTCAGAATTAGACTTAATTTAAACCTTTCAGAGCACAACAGCAGCACAATATTGACTGACATCTTTTACACTATAAAGCCACTCTCCCTTACTTCATACAAGGTTTACAGAAACATGCAGTGTGAGTGGCCACATTTCTTCCCCAGCTCCACGTTCTGACAGGCACGCAGGCACATTATTAGGAGTCAGTAGACTAAGTAGATAATCATTTCAAACACATGACTTTTAACCTACTTTTCAAGCACAGTATTAACAGCATAAGCATTATGTAGCAATACTAATTACAAAGCAGTAAAGCTGCAAATGTAATTCTTTCTATTTCCACTTCTGCTCAGACACATGCACACTTTGTCTTTCTTTATCCCTTTGCTCATCCAAGGAAAAAATACTCTCTAATCAAAATTAACAGAATAAAGGAGTTAGTTATGTCTTTTTATTTTTTTTTCACAATAACTTTTTATTTTATAAACGTAGCCTTCAGTTTACAACTTACTTAAGAGTAAATGAATGTTAAGGAAAACTTTGTTAAAGATACATAGATTTTGAATTTAAATTACAGACTCACAGAACCACAGAACAGTTTAGGTTGGAAAAGATCTCCAAGATCACTGAGTCCAATCTTTGACCAATCACCACCTTGTCAACTAAAGCACGGCTCTAAGTGCCACGTCCAATTGTTTCGCGAGCACTTCCATGGACAGTGACAGTGACTCCACCACCACCCTGGGTAGCCTGTTCCAATGTTTAACAACCCTTTCCATGAAGAAATTCTTTCTGATGTCCAACTTGAAGCTTCCCTGACACAGCATGAGGCCAATTCCTCTTGTCCTGTTGCTTTTACTCGGGAGAAGAGCCTGACACTCACCTTTCTATATCCTTCTTTCAGATTGTTGTGGAAAGCAATAAGGTCCCCCTGAGCCTCCCTTTCTCCAGGGTGAACACCCTCCCTAACCTTCTCCTCACAGGACTTACTCTCTAGAATCTTCAACAGTTTCACTGCCCTTCTCTGGATGTGAATTGGTTAATTAAGAAGTAAAATATTGCTGGTTTCTTTTTCTTTCTCGTTTTTAACCTAGTTGATTACTATAGTTTTCCTTTTGCACTTTTATTGGTTGTAAGATGATAATGGTATTTGGTTTAATGCTATGGGGCTTCCCTGATAGCTCTCATCTATATTGCTGGCTAGCCCTGCATACTATGATGGAACAGATACAGTATGTTCTTAAGTTCAACTAAATATTGAAAGAGATTACTTTTTTTTTCTATTTTCCTGTTTTTATTTCTACAAAGAGGCAGACTTTGAAATCAGCTGAGATAGAAAAATGTACCCCTGGAGTGCAAAACAGTTTATTGTATAGGTAGGATATGGTTGAGGATATATCATAAGTTTAAACAGAAAATCTTGTCTGGCTTTGCAGCAGATTCTCTGATTTGTTTACTTGCCCTCTTTTTTCCCCTCTCTTTTTCTGCATAAATAATATATGATAAACAAACTCAGAAAATGGTGAAACTTCTTTTGAAGGACATATGATGAATCTTCATTTTGCTCGACTTGTTTGCTATAGCTATAAAGTGGCCTCTTCAGACACTGTCCAAAAAAATGTGCGTGTTTGTGTGTTCTGTATGTTTAAAGCAGACCAATATATACTTCAACTCAATTGCTTTCATGTATATTAATAAATGTTCACACCCACTCTAAAATATATATCCAACTGCTTAACTGGTGTCCTCTGACTTTAAAAATCCCTTCACATCTATAAAAAAGTGCAAAGCTGGGCACAGCTTGCACCATTTTATCAAGTAACAAGATAAGAGTTTGAAAGCTTGATATTAGAAGAAAAAATCTAAAACAAAGGATAATTTTAATAATAAAATATGGCATATTTTCCTGGAATAAAGGGATGTCAGTCAAGAGCAAAAAGCTTTCTTAAAACTGAGATGTTTACGAAATATTTTCTTCTTATGCTACACACAGGGTACTGTGGAAAAACGATTTACACACTGTAATGGAGCACATGTTGAGCAGTCACACATCTCTCCAGCTCAGTACCTGTGCCCATCTGTTCTGGGAGACGTTACAGGGAATGCAATGAACACTGCAAATCTACAAAATCATGCAATGCAGAGTGCACAGGATTAGCTTAACAACAGATGATTGATACCATCTTTTCATCCCCATCTTCAGACCCTGGACATGTCCAACTTCACACCTGCACACGTATGCCCAAATTTGCCATTTATCAAACCTCCAACACTGAAGGCTCCTCGATAAAGCAACTCTGACCTGTCAGCAAACTCCCCAAGACCATCAGCGGTCTATCCAGTCTTCATTACTGGCTCTGCCTCCACTATGTCCCTCTGGGTCTCTGAACTCCCTTTGTCAGAGATGCCACTCACGTTCAGACAGGAGGACAAGCCAGGCATGCTGACCCTACATCTCCATTCCAGGCAAATATGCTACTGAAGCCAGTGCAATTTTGTTCTGACTAATGTTGAGTGGAGAAAAATAAGGTTTATCTTCATGTCAGAGGAAGGAAAATCAATTTAAACTGAGGTACTAGTAGAAAAGTTAGAAAACAGCATTAGATGTGGGCTTACCGTTCTGAAGCTGGTAGGTATCATTTGAAACTCAAAGGAAATCAAATGTGAACAGAAAATGAAATTAGAATTGTACTTTAATTCAGCCCCAGAAAGAGAACAAACATCTTTCATTACAAAACTTGCACTCTAGTACTTCATTATGTCAAAAACAGTTCGCCCCGTGCAAAATTTTGCATTGAAATTATGCCAAGTTCAGCAGGCCTGTTGTTTTTCTACTAACTGCCCAGCAAAGATTTAGAGCCCATGCACGATTTCTTATTTTAAGAAAAATTATTTGAAGTTTACTTTAGTAATCTTATGCCAATTGCTCATTTGGGACAGATCCCTTTCTCCTCATGTGACTTGGTCTCTGCTGGTCTTACTTGCAGCCAAATACACTCTTAGCTGGTTTACTAACAACCAAAGGCCAAAAAACATTCAGCATCAATTAATTTTATTTACTTTCCAGATTATAAAAATGCATGTATCCAATAAATTATAACACATGTATGAAAGTTAAAATAAACCTAGCTGAGTGCTTCCAGAAGACCAATCTGCATCCTGCCTACAACATGCTATACTGAACTAAAACCACA